GAGGGGGGGTAGTCGATTGCAGCCGCCCCCTCGGAGGACACGATCCTCGTGAGGGGTGGCGAAAAATAGCCTCCCCCCTAGGGATCGCCCAGGGTCAGCCGGGGATCGGCCGGGGTACTTTTCGTCCGGGGGCCCCCAGGGGCCGCCCCGCGCGCGAACTAGAAATATTGTTAGTAGTTGCCGGAGATCTTAGCACGCCTCTGGCCCGTTGGGCTGGCGAATTTGTGCGTCCCAGGGCCCCGTCACGAACGCCCAAACAGATCGAGGACGAGGAGGACGACGACGACGCCGAAAAGGGGCAGCTTTTCTAGCCCAGAACACCGTCAGGCGACGCGCTCGCGGTTCCGCGCGCCGCTCGGAACGGCCAGCATGTCGACGATTTGAGGAATCATTCGGCCCGTCTCGGGCGTCTGTGACCGCTCGCGCCACCCACTCCAAGGCACCTCGCGCCCGCGACCCCCTGCCACTGGGATCGCCCACCTCGCCCGCCCCCCCCGAGCCCCGCCGCGCCAACTCTCCTCCTCTTCTCTTTGCTGGCCCCGCCTCGCGCCTCCCCAGCACGCCCAACACGGACCCGCGGGCTCGTCTCCGAATGCCCCCGGCTTCCCAGCCGCACGCCCGAGACGGCGAGAAACACAACGAGACTGCTCGGCGCCCAGACTGGCGCGTTCGCCCGCGGTCCTCCGCGAGCTTTCGCGCGGCCCATGCAGAGTCCGCTCTACGCGAGCGCGCGTCTCCTACGCGGACCAGCGCGCGTGCGACAGCTGACCCACGCCCGCCTGCCTTTCTCTCACATGCTTCGCGTCGAACGCGTGGCCCGTCGCCTGCACCACCACTGCGTTCTCTTTCAAGACGTCCACAAGGATGTTCTTCCTTTCATCCCCTCTCGCTCTGCTCCTCCTCGTCCTCCTTCCCATCCCCCTGGTTCCCCTCCGCCTCCCCTTTCGTTCTCCTCCCCTTTCGTTCTCCTCCCCTCTCCTCCCATTCTCGTCCTCCTCCCCTCTCGTTCTCGTCCCCGCTCCCATCAGCTTTGGGCATGCAGCGTGACGGGGACTATCCTCGGAGGGGAGTGCCCTCTTCGTCGCAGCCCTCTCGGCCCGAAGGGTGCGCAGGGGAGGGTTCCGCTCCCCCGCCCCAGGCACGCCACGCCACGCCGTCCGCCTTTGCGGCCGCGTGCGGCCAGCGGGCGGGAGAGCTGGCACGGACTGTCAAATCTGGCCCGGGGAGACGCAGGGAGGAACTCGGACAGCGAGCCTGGCAGCCCCCCCCCGTTTGGCTTTTGACAGCCACCCCCAAGGGGGGGGGAAAGGGGGGGAGGGGTGACGAAGGCCTGAGCAGGAGGAGGAGCGCCTGAGGGCCCGTAGAGCCACGTCGCGAAGATCACTGTGCAACACTGACTTGACGCGGACGTGCCCAAGAGCCGGCAACGTGGCACCAAGGAGGTGGCCGCACCAGCGGTGACGCAGGGCGCCGACTTGGTGCATCTGGATGTGCCGACCCCTTTGGTGCCACCCGAGAGGCGAACATGAGACTCGGAGGCAACTTCTGGCGCCGCATGGTGATTTGAGCGACAACGCGCCATCAAGAATCAAGACCGCACTCCGCGCAGGACGGGACACTCCAAGCATGGGCCCTCACCAGAGAGGCACTGCCCCGACTGCTGTGGGCCCTGGGGCGGCGGCCACTCGGGGAAACCCGGCGGCCTGACAGAGATGGAGGACCGAACCCACCGGAAGCCACCCCCGGACGGTCGGGGGAACCCGCCATCAGCAGAGTGCGTTGAAACATCTAGCACTGACAGCGCAGCCCAAACCATGTGCTTGCCAAAACGGAAACGCCGATGTTCTTTCTCCTACGTGCTTCCCTTACCGTACCTCCTCACCAATACACATGTAGTGGTTTACTCTGATGAACCGCCTTCTGGTACCGATGGATGATTCCAGGGCCCCCCCCCGCCCGACCATGGCCGAAACCACCTCCGAGCGACATGTGCACGCCCAGATGAAGGTGCGCCTGGACCAGCGGCGTCGTCGTTTTACTTCTTTGTAAACCCCCAGGGGAAAGGTCCGACGACCCAACCGCCCCCGAGTGGATGTTGGACGAGGAGGGTTGCACGCTCCCGCCCCCGAGCGCCGAACCAGGTCTGGAAGTAGGTCCTCCAACGCCCGAGAACAAGCACTAAAGACACAACGAGGCTATCCTCCTCCTCCTCCTGCTCCTCATCCTCATCCTCCTCCTCCTTCTCCTCCCGAGTACAGGCGCCCTCCCTGGGGGTGGGGTGCATGCTTTAGCCGTGTCCTCTCTCTCCCGCCAGCACCCTTCCATGTCCACGCAAGCCGTGGAAACCCAGACGACACAGAGCCAAATCCGAGCGAAGGAGGCCCTCCCTCCCCTCCCCTCCCTCCCCTCCCTCCCCTCCCTCTCCCCCCCCCTCCCCCCTCCCTCCCTCCCGCGTCGGGACTATGATCCCCAGACGTCCTATCCCTCCCTCCCATCCCTTACCACGGCGTAGATCTCGTCTCTATTCGCACAATCGGATGTCGCAACATGGCATAGCATTACATGGCATAGCACGGTGTTGAAGGTCAACGCGTAGCATGACATAACATGACGTGGCGGCGCCCCAAAGTTGGGGGGGGTTCTGCGGCCCAAAAAATCAACGAATCGACACCGAATGTGGAATCATGTTCGTTGTTTTTTTCGTGCGGCCATTTTCTACATTTGGGGCCTATTTGGAAGGACCGGAAACTATGCTGTGGCATGGCGCTGGAAATAATGACGCCAGCACTGAACTGGGAGCACGATTCGGGTCGAGCGGAAGCGCGGAAATGAGGCCAGCGCTGCAGCGGGAGCACGATTGGGAACGAGTGGTAGCCCGAAGATGAGGCCGGCGGTTCAGCGAGAGCAGCATTTTGGAAACAAAAATCCGAGCGAAAACCCAACTCCCGGGAATCCGGTGTGCAAAGAACCAGTGCGGCGGAGGGGGGCCGAACAATCCCCGGATGCCACCAGGGGAGAGAGGAGAACGCCCGAGAAATCCCCCAGAGCCGCCAGGTCTCAGAGATTCTCGATGTATCCTCGTCTTGGCTTCGTCTGATCCGTCCTGCCCGGCCCCGGCCTGCAGGCGGCGGCGGTCCTGGGCCTCAAAGGCTTTCCTTTGTTCTTGTGCTCCGCGCGGGGGAGATGTCTTTGGTCAATCTGGACAGTCCTTGCCAGATGTGGGGTGCATGATGCCAAGCGCCCCCGTCGCCGTAGCTAGGACATCTCTCCTTGCTCCTCCTCCTCGTCCTCATCCCACCCTTCTCGTCCTCGCCCTCGCCCTCGTCCTTCTTCTCCTCCTCCTCCTCATCCTCCTCCTTCTGCTTCTGCTTCTGCCTCCTCGTCCTCGTCCTCGGCCTTCTTCTCCCCCACTTTCGTCGTCGTCGCCGTCCTCCTCCGCCTTCTCCCATCGAAGAGCAGGCAAACTCTGTGACCACACGAGAACACACACACACACACACACACACGCACGCACGCACGCACGCACGCACGCACGCACACCACACGCACACCACACGCACACACGCACACGCACACGCAAACGCACACGCACACGCACACGCACACGCACACGCACACGCACACGCACACGCACACGCACACGCACGCACACACACACACACACACACACACGCACGCACGCACGCACGCACGCACGCACGCACGCACGCACGCACGCACGCACGCACGCACGCACGCACGCACAGCACGCACAGACACAGACACAGACACAGACACAGACACAGACACAGACACAGACACAGACACAGACACAGACACAGACACAGACACAGACACAGACACAGACACAGACACAGACACAGACACAGACACAGACACAGACACAGACACAGACACAGACACAGACACAGACACAGACACAGACACAGACACAGACACAGACACAGACACAGACACAGACACAGACACAGACACAGACACAGACACAGACACAGACACAGACACAGACACAGACACAGACACAGACACAGACACAGACACAGACACACACACACACACACACACATACATTCACATTCGGGGCTCCGCGCGATCTGCTGTTGGCACCTCTGGCGGCGCCGCTTCTTGCGCGCCTCGCTCGCAAGGGAGGGGTGTCCGGCGCTGGCCCGAGGAGTCCGCGTGGAGTTCCAACAGTTTATGTTTGCGTCGTCTTTGTCGTTCAGTCCTTCTCCTCCTCCTCCTCCTCCTTCTCCTCCGCTCCTCCTCCTCCCAGGGTCCATGCCGATCCGATCGATCCGATTCGAATCCGATATTCCGACGACCTCGTGAGGCCCGATGCTTACACGGCGGTGTCGGCTGGTCCGATTCGGTGTCGGCTCCTTGCCAAGGCGGCCCGACCTGACGCGCGCTCGGGTCCGACCCGATTTCCCGGTTCGATGCTGAGCGATCCTGGATTCCGAGGGGGCCTCCGACGGTGCCTGTGCCGGGGTGCCAGCGGGGCCTCTGACGGGGGCCGTCAATGGGGGCCTCTTGGCGGGGCCTCCTGGCGGGGCCTCCGACGTGACCTTCCGACAGGCTTGGCGGGGCCGCCTGAAGGGGCCTCCTGACTCTCGTTCTCCTCCTCGTCCTCGTCCTCCCCTTCCTCCGTGTACATTTCGTCCTCGTCCTCCTCCTTCACCCTTGCCTCCCCCCCCACCCACCGTCCTCCTCCTCCTCCCCCTCCCCCTCTTCGTTCTCAGCCTGGCCCTTTTCCTTCTCGTCGTCGTCCTCGTCCTCGTCGTCGTCCTCCTCCCCCTCCCTCTCGTTTTCGTTGTTTTCCCCCTCCTCCCTCGCTTTCTCCCCCTCACCACCATCATTGAATCCTGATACTTCTCCTCCCCTGTCATCCTTCTACTCCTTGTCCTTGTCTCTGCCGTCGGTCGTCCTCCTCTTCCGCGTCCTCTTCTTGTAACTCTATATATGATGCTGAGCTGGGTACGTCTCAGCCCCGCGCGGATGAGGTCTGAATTTCTTTGGCGTGTCCGAGGCGTCCTCGAGGTTGCCGCTGCAGAGCTACGGCAGGCTCGGCTAGGGCAGCAGGTCTGGGAGTTGGTGGAGCACAACTGTACAGATCCACCTCGTTCCTCCTCCCTCCCGGAAGTCAGGGTCCATTTCGAGTTGATCCATCTCATTCGATCTCGATGGCAGCCAGCCAGGTCCGATTCGATTTCGATGCTCCAACGTTTGAATGAGGCCCGATGCTCGCATGGCGTTGTTGTGGGTCCTGGTCCAGCCGATCGGATTCTGCATCGACTCCGTACTGATGCAGCCCGTTCCGATGCATATTCCGATCCGATCCGATATCCCGATTCGGTGCTGACTGATGCTGTCTCGTTCTTGCTGCCGTCTCTCTTGGGAAGGATGAATGCAATCAGAAGAGAGGCGGGAGGGGGGATGAAGAATGAAGTAAGAAGGCCTGTACGATTGTTCGATTCCAAGTGGGTCGCGGTCCGAAGCGGGCCCAGGAAGGTTCCCCGATCCCTGCCGGTGACTTGGTCCCGCCTGAGGATGTCGTCGTCGTTCTCCTCCTCTTCCTCCATCGTCTCCTGGAGGCTGCGGAAGAGCAGAGGGAAGGGTGAGAAGGAGAGGATGAGCAAGAGAAGAGCCAGGAGAACTTGGAGGATGAAAGAGCAGGATACAGGAGGAGGAGGTGGAGGACAGGTATGACGACGAGGATGATGGAGGAGGGGAGAGAACGGGAGTTTAGGAGGATGACGGGGCGAGGGAGGGAGGGAACTGGGAAGCGAAGGACGAGTATGAAGCATTGGGCAGAGGAATGGGGATAAGCATGGGTGAGAAGAGGAGAAGGGGGGAGGGGGAGGAGGAGGAGGAGGAGGAGGAGGAGGAGGAGGAGGAGGAGGAAGGAGGAGGAGGAGGAGGAGGAGGAGGAAGGAGGAAGGAGGGGGCGGACCACTGTAACCCAGGGCGCATCAAGGATGTTGCAGCACGTGCTCCCTCGAAGCCTCGTTGCCACGGATCCCCACGGGAGTTTTTCTTTCATTGCGGGAAGTGCCCCACTCGAGGACCACCGTCTGAGGATCCTCAATCGCGTCAAGATCATTCCTGCGGCTTCCACGCCGCGAATCTACGTGACTGCTGCGCGCTGACAACCAATCCTGGATCGTGCCAGAGCGCAGTTCCTCGGATTCCAGCACCGCGAGTGAGCGTGACTGTTGCGGCCTGATGGGCCTGAATCTTGCCCGGACACTTTTTTCGTGGGCCTTCAAGCATACATGTTTGAGTTTGTTGCACGTTTTACTGAAGATTGTAACAGCCACATTTTTGAAAGGAGAGGCCCCCCATCTTCGAAATTGTTGCACACCATTCAGACGAATGTGCGCGGCGCCAAGTCGAGAACCACATGTTGAAAATATCCTGCCCTCCATCCATGCAGCGGCACACGTCTGAGACGAATGTGCGCCGCGCTGAGGCGAGATCCACATTTTGAAAGCCAGCTGCCCTCCACCTAGGATACTGTTGCACGTGCCAAGCTTCAGGGTCATCAGTGGTGAGGAAGTCTCAAGCGAAGCTCCCGGCCCGGCCTACTTTCTCGTTGGTTTTCGATTCATAACTCGTGCTTCAGGCACCGCCGTTCGGAATCATCTATCGCTGGAACACCTTCGATGCGGCGCAGCTGACGGGAAACCTTCTGGAACCCAGAAGCCTCCGCACATCTCATAAGACATCAGGCAACCTTGTGTTCTTACCCGCCCCCTCGCGCCTCCTGCGACGCGAGGAGCGAGAACAGCAAAACCATACACACCGTCGGAGGTCCCCGCGGACATCTCAGATCGGCTCTGCACCCCCGTGGCCGCGCTTCCGGTCCGACCCCTTGCGCGCTTCACGTGCCAGGAAGGGGGGCAAGCGCCGATCCGAGAAATCCGTGAGGACCTCTAAAACTTCACGTTCAAGCAGCTTCTCTTTTCTTCTTTGTATGAGGACGTGGCAGAAGGGAAGGATCCACGGTCCTCCTCCTCATCCTCGCTCGCTCCTCGTCCCTGCCCTCCCCCTTCCCCCTCCCTCCCTCCCCCCCCTCGCTCCTCCTCGCTCCACCATCGCTCCTCCTCGCTCCTCCTCGCTTCCCCTCGCTCCTTCTCGCTCGTCCTCGCTCCCCCATCGCTTCTCGCTCCTCCTCGCTGCCCCTCCCCCTCGCTCCCCCCCTCGCTTCTCCCGGGACGTGGCGGGGGGCAGGGTCCACTTTGTGCCGACGTGCACGAGGGACCTGCTGTGTGCGGCGGACCAGGCGACGGAGTTCTCCCGGGGGCGGCGCCACGGCGGAAGCGTCCCCTGCGCGCGGCCTCCTCCCCCCACGAGAGCCGCTGCGCCGAGGAGCCAGTGGGGTGAGGAGCTCTCGAGGAGCATGGGGGTGAGGGGGAGGGAGGACCGAGGATGTGGACGGATGGACGGATGTATGGATGATGATCGAGATGATGATGATGATGATGATGATGATGATGATGATGATGATGATGATGATGATGATGATGATGATGATGATGATGATGATGATGATGATGCTGATGCTGATGCTGATGCTGATGCTGATGCTGATGCTGATGATGATGAGGAGGAGGAGGAGGTAGATTATGATGATGATGATGTTGATGCTGGTAATGATGATGATGGTGATGGTGATGGTGATGGTGATGGTGATGATGATGATGATGCTGATGATGATGATGATGATGATGTTGGTGATGATGATGCTGATGATGTTGTTGCTGATGTTGCTGATGATGATTATGGTGATGTTGATGCCGATGCCGATGTCAGTGCCGATGATGATAGTGATGCTGCTGCTGATGATTGTGACGATGCTGCTGCTGCTGATGATGCTGATGCTGAGGGTGGTGGTGGTGATAATGCTGATGATGCTGATGATGAAAACGATGATGCCGATGATGTTGGTGGTCGTGATAATGAGGATGATGATGATGATGATGATGATGATGATGATGATGATGATGACGATGATGATGATGAGGATCATATACTGCTCAAGATGATGAGGATTCTGCTGATGTTGATGGCGATGACGCAGATTGTTCGCAAGGGCCCCGCCCCATGTCGCCGGCCCCCTGCCCATGACCGTAGCCATTTTGGCTCAAACTTCTGCTTTTCCACCTGTGCACGCGCCTACGCACTTGCCAAAGATATCTTGCTTGTGGCGGCGCCCGACATATTGACTCTGTTTTCTCGCTAGCTGTGCATAGTCTCCGAAGGCTCACCGAGGAGGTCACGGTCTGCCGGAAAGATGAACAGCGATGCGATCAAGCACTTAATCGAGGACTCCTCCGCCAGGGCTGCCGAGAAGGCCGAAGACCTCGGGGCGACGATAGCAGTGGAAGCAACGACGCCGAGGATTACGACCATCGCCCAGATGGCGGCCACTGAGGCTGCTCGCAAAGTATGCGCGGACTCGGAAACGAAAATGAGAGAGGAAATCGCACAAGTGCGTGCCCAGATGGCTTCGACGTCGTCCTGCGCGGGGGCTTCCACGAGAGGCGGCACCTTCGATCCATCTCCATAGCCTCCGTTCCGCAGAAATGGACTTTCGTTCCGCAGTGGATGGAAGGCAAAGGCTGCATCGTGAACTGGGGCCATAAGGAGGACAGCGCCCTACTCCCACACGAGGTGGAACGATACGTCAACAAACTCACGGCCAAAATGGGCACCTTCAACACGAAGACCCAGATGATGGTGGAAGATCCCACTCGCGAGCAATGCTGGACACTCAAGGCTTCCATTGACAAGGCCATCAGCGGCGCACCGGACGAACTCACCATCAACTCTAAGACTGTTTCTGCGGCGGTCCAGCTACCGCCTAGCATGGCCAACGTGAGCACGCAGTGCTGTAAATTCCATGGGTTCACCGAGCAGGCAAGCGTATCGCGTGCCGTATACAATATCGACTATGTCGGGACGTCTGGCACGGTCATCTGCCACCTCCACGTCCAGCATCTGTTTCGCGGACGTCGTCCTCAACGCTGTTGGCCACCTACGACGACGACTGGGCCATCAAGCCGGAGGAGTGGGCAACTCTGAACGTACAGATGACATGCGAGAATGCGGCGCAGAATCTTCGCCGCGCCTGACGGTCACTGACCGGGGGCCGCCTGTGGGGGAAGATCGACGGCTTCCGAGTTATACAATGGAGAATTGGCAAATTTGGCCTCGCTGAGTTCCCAGACGCGCTGTGCGGCCTCCGCAGGTGGTATCGGAGCCCAAACGTTGTCATTTGCCTCCAGGAAGTATCAAACTGGCTGGAAGACCTTGAGCCCCATGGGTGGGAGATTCGACATGCGCACGAATCACACGGAGCTCTGGTCTATCCAAGTGGGATGGCCCGGGGCGTCCTTAGCGAACTCTTCCACGAAGGACTCAGTAGCTGCGGGGCGTGTTTTGGGCCGACTGGCGTTGCCGCATCGCGCTTTCGCAGCCGGGGCTCCCGCGAGGCGAATTTCGAGCGTCGCTCCGCGACGCATGAAAAGATCATCGTCGTCTTCGTCGCCATTGCCACGTTGGACATCATATTTTTTGGGGGCGATCTCAACGCACACTTTCCTCGCGTCGGAAGCATGATTGGTCTGGGGGCCGATGGTTCTCGGCGTTCTGGTCCTTATCTCGAACGTCGACAACGACTCGTGGAATTCTCGGGCTATATCCACTGCCCCCTTTCGCCCGCGCGCGCCGACCTCCTGGGCCGCGCCGCGCGCGGCCATCGCGCGCGCCGCGCGCGTGAAGCCATTGGCTACATTGCCGCGCCGCCCCGTCTTAACGCCCGGCTTGCCATCGGGAACTAAGTCGATCGTTTTCCGCTTATACTTATCATCTCCAGCTCTGGCGCCAAGATCGGCCATGCTTCCTGCGAGCCCAGCGCCCGCGGGTGATCCGCTGGGGGCGCAGATCTCGACGTCCACCGTGAATCAGTCGAGGACGCCCTCCAGGAGGTCGCTGTACTGCGGGGGGGTTCCGGGGCGATTGCCTCGAATGCGCCCAGCACCCCCCGCGCCGCGTCGCCATCGAGATCGCTGCAAATCTGGCAGCGGCCTCTCATTGTGAAGCAGTTGGAAGCTGCGGGGCGCGCATGCCCGATCGGTTGCTTACGACAAGTCTGCAAACGGCCACGGAAAGCTCAAAGACAATGGAAACGCAGCGCCCTTCGCCGCGCGGCCTTTTCGGCTGGGAATAAACTGACCAGACCCATCCTGAAGTCCCTGCAGGGCCCCGACGGTTCCCAGGTGCATGATCGCAGCATGTGGCGTGCTATGATACGCGCGCACTGCGCGAAAATACATGTGGACCCCCACTGGTCGGTCGACGACCTTATTGCTTGCGTCGCCGGCTTCGTGGAAAAAGTCAATATCGCGCGGGGTGCCGACGCGAAAACCCGGGGCGTCTTCGCCGGCCTGTCAAGTCTGAAAACAGGAAGCACCCAAGGAATGGATAAAGTGACTGCCGAGGTGGTGAAGAATCTCTCTGCTGGGGTCGTTTACAAGTTACGGGGCCTCTTCTCGCGATGTGTTGGCGGGGCGCGCGCGCGTGCTCGCGCGGGGCGGGGCGGGGCGGGGTGGGGGGCGGGGTGGGGCGGGGTGGGGCGGGGTGGGGTGGGGGGGGGGGGGGGAATTTAGGGGCAGCGCCGTGCCGCCGTGATCTTCTTGGCTATGTGCTAAGTGTTCAGGCGCAAACTCGACGCAGCAGCTTCAGGGTATGATCCATGCTGGCGTCACTCTACAATGGTATCCGCATTCCATTGGGCATATTCGCCGTGATGCGTGCACTTAGGGGTTTATGCCGAGAACGGCATGTTCGCAGAGTGCCGAGGCTCTTTGCGCGCATCTCAGCAAGTCTCACGGGTGGCCAGAAAGCGTCCCTACGCGCGTCATTGTCTGCGACGTAGACCAAGCGTACGATTTTATGCGCTTCTCCATCGTCTCTGCAGTCCTTCGGGCCCGCCGCCTGCCACCCCGTCTTGCCGCGGCCCTACCCCAGGAAAGTCGGCGCGCGGAGAACTGGGCTGTGCGCGACGGCGTCACGGATCATCTTCTTATCCCCCACATCGCTTCGGAACGACAGGGCGCCCCTGAAGCACCAGTAAAGTAAAATATTGTCACAGGCATTATTGGCGATTTGGCTCCTTCTGGGAAGCCCCGCGGTCTGGGCGTTCGCCGCCGTGGCGAAATCCGGGCCCGCCTGCGCTGGGCAGATAAGTGGGCGCCGCCGCCACGATGCATGAGCTCACGATACGGATGTCCGCGCGCGGCCGTCGCCGGAAAGATGGGCCCCATCGAGTGCGTCAGCCCTGGCCCCCATGCCCCAGAGAGCATCGCAGTCGACGCCATTTCCCCCTCCTGAGGCTTCCAGATACCCTCCCCGCAGCGGCTGGGTGGTTGCGCCCAGGGCGTCGTCTTCGTTTTGTCTTCTTCTCGGTTGTGACGGATGGTTCGCGCCCGCGCGCGCGTGTTCCAGCGGCTCTGGCAATCCGAAGGCGGTCTACTGAGGCGCGCGGCTCGCGTCCCCAGACGGCCCGGCGAGGGCTGGATCGATTGCGCGCGCGATTGGCGAGGCAGCTGCGCTGGCAGAAATGTCGCGAGAGCGCCGTGGAGCTCATATTTGCCCGCAGTCATCGTCTCGCCTTGCACCAGCATGGGCGCCCGCGACGAACGGCCTCGAATGGCGCCCCTGAACGAGCCGAGCCCAAGCAGCGGCGTCCTGCGCAGTCTCGATTGGTGAATGCCGCGTTCAGTCCTTGCGCGGAGGGCGACTGGCAAGTAGCATCGGGGGTCCATCGGGTACTGGGCAGCACGGGCCAGTTCCTGGATGAGGACGGCGCGTTGCGAAAGTGGAACCACGGGGGGGGGGGGCGCCGGTCTACGTGGGGGGGCCCGTGCATTTCCCGCCGCAGGACGGCATGGCGGAAACGCGCTTACCAGCGATATATGATTGGACTAGAAAGGAGACGGACTTCGTTTACAGCGTCTGTCAACAGTGGAGCCTCAACGGCGATTTCTTCGGGAAGGCGCGGGATAAACGCATTCAGGACTCCGCCCGGGCCTCCGAGGAGAAACAAAAACGCAGACGGATATTTACTGATGCACCCATGGTGTAGAGACAACCACGTGGTGCATCCTGGCGGACTGCTGGGGTGACAACTCAACGGCGGCCGGCTGGGCCAACCCGGTGCTCCGGGTCAATTCGCCGAACTGCCGGGCCCTGGTCTCCGCGGTGCAAACACGTCTTTGAGAACTTGA